TTCCTTCCATACGCAGAGAATCCTAAAAGGTACACGTATTCGTAACAGGTGAACAGATACACTCACACGCGCACACACTGAGACGCATACGTACACGTATAACACGAATACATACGCGTGCAGAACGCGTAGATACAGACTGTAGGACAAACGAGATATAGCGCCCATGCGCTCGCATATACAGACGTACACACGGTTGCATACATATATTTTAAGTACAGTGGAGTATTCCTATAGCATTGTGATCGTCAGACTGCCAGATACACGAACCTAGTAGATTCCTATACGATGCATTTAAGTATATACATATATTTATATTATATAACGCGTATAATTATTGCTTCTTAATTAAGTGAACCTCGAGTTAAGAACCCTCGCGTTTTCTCGTACGATATTTCGTTGTGCACTGCCGATGAGCCTAGAAGCACGTTAACCGGTTCGATAGGACGAACCGCGACGTATCGCGTGCCGAGCGCGGACCCGACGTCGTCGTCGTCGTCGTCGTCGTCGTCGTCGTTCGCTTTCTGTCACCGTCATCATCCTCCTTCAACCCACCCATCACCGAGCCCTTTGTACGACGTTCTTCCAATTTACGAAATACCGTTACGTACGTGTACGCACGATCGGTTTTCATCGATCGATACCTTTCCGCATTTATTATCTCTATTAATTCCGGATGACGCTCGATCGCGACTTGCGTCTACCGCCTCGCAAATGTTCCTCCGACAGTTGGTTCGTTCGATTCTCCTCGGGCCGCAGGTAACGGTGGGCGAACCGGAAAACGCGTCCGTGCTCGGCGAATACCTGGCATCCAGTCCCGTATTCCTACGCCAAATACGCGTGTCACGGCTGCCCGACTTTCCATACTGTAGACAATATTTATGAGACAAGCTAAACTAAACTAAACTAAACTAAACTAAACTAAACTAAACTAAACTAAACTAAACTAAACTATACTATGCTATACTATATTATATTATACTCGTAATTCATATTATACAGTGTAAGTATGCGCAATGTCTGACGCGAACGAAGCGGTAGGTTTAATTCAACTTTTCCTTTTTTTTTTCTTTTTTTTTTTTTTTTTTTTTTTTTTTTTTTCAGCATTCGCTCCGCGTTTTTCTCGAACGAGTTCCCGATCGACCTTTCGCGCACAGCATCCTCGTGTCACGAATCTGTTCTCTTATTCTTATTCTACACACGCGCGTACGTATCGTATACGTATGTACCGAGAAGTCCGTCCAGTTACGAACTGTCGCGTGGACTCCTCGTTAAAAATAATACACGTCTCGACAACAGCCACGATCGCGCTTCGAACGGAGAGATTCGTCGACGAGAGATCCCTTTGACGATTCTTTCGACGATCTTTTACGCTTTCGAATCGAGCGAATGAAATCATGCGAAGCAGGCCAGGATCGACTCTCCTCCGTACGAGTGCAATAACTAGCCATTCCGTATTTTCGATCCGTACTTTTCCGATATCCTACCGGTCACGCGAATTTCTCTCTTCGCCGAGGTACTACTACCTATTCCAATTCGGTCGATCGAGAACTCGTTCGTCGACGCGTGTACTGTATGCTAAGCGAACAAACGGCTACTGATTCGAGAGTGTGAGGTGAAAAGTGAGAAAAGCGACGAGAACGCGATGGGTGTGAGGGGAGAAAGTGCGAAGGAAGGAAAGAGAAAAAGAGAGAGAGAGAGAGAGAGAGAGCGTGTGCTACGTTGGAACAACGTAGAGGAAGCGCTTGAAGCGCTTGTCGCGAGGGAAGATTGGAAATAATAGGGATGGAGAATCGTAGGCTTTGGTTAGAAGTAGTGTAGCGACGACGGCGAAAAGACGGTAAGAGAGATAACGTTGACGATAAATACGTTTATGGATCGACTTGATGCATAGTTACTGAATAATATTAATCGATAATACTACTGCCTCGCGAGGCCTTGATGCGTGGCGGCGGTCGAAACGAACGAGTGCGGAGCTGGTATCAAACGTTCGCGGGAAACATAGTCGGAAGAAATGCTGAAAATCGGAGAGAGCGGCGATTTCGATGCCGACGAGCCAATCGACCGCCGTCATCGACGGAGATTACTAGATTATTAGGCACGTAAGAAGTACTATTAGATAGATCGTAGGATTTAATGACTCCTTTCTATTATCTTCTTTTTTTTTTTTTTTTTTTTTTTTTTTTTTTTTTTTTTTTATTTATCTAAGCAGAGAGAAAAAGAAACGAAGAGACGCCTTAGCGTTCTCCATGCGAGAATCCGTAGTCGGCCAAGCCGAATGAATATTAAGAGATAACGGAGCGTAGTTTCTCGCAAAGAGCCGGGAAACTGTGAGCAAAGCGAGTGGAAAGAGAGAGTGCGTGCGAGAGTGCGTGCGTCTGCGTGAAAGAGTGACTCTGAGAGGTACGTTGGAAAGAGATCGCGAAGGATCCTCGACAGGAATGAAAGTGGTAGGCAACGTTCGTGATAGAGATTTGTCCAATCTGCTCGATACATCGGTCGTTGTCCGTATATCGTTGCGTCGACACTGTCGATGGTTGCTTTTGCAAACCGAACCTCCTCCAATTCGCCCGTTCACTGTCCGATTTATCGCGATCGACTGCCCATTTTCGGTATCTCGTAGATTAATCGATATCGCTTTCCGTGGTTAAAATCTCCTCATTCATTGTCTCTCGTCTTGCACTTTAATCCTTTCGTACATTTTTATTTTCTTCTCATTTTTTTTCTCTCCCTCTATTCGGAGCATCCATGTTCCATCTTATAACCCGCGTATCGAAAGCTTTCGCTTGTATCGTTTGGAAAATTAATCGAATTAAGCGAATCGAGCTCGTAGACGACCACGAGATATTCGAGATAAAATTTATTCGTATACATGTGCCTTTGAGATGCGTGAAAAAAAAAAAAAAGAAAGAAAAAAAACTAAAATGGAAAGAAACGCGAATCCGACATTTTCGCGAATATCGAACGGTTCATCGGTGTAACATTTTGCGTGATTGAAATTTACGGGGTTCGATTTGCTCAGTCGCCACGATGGTGGACGGTAACCGACGAACAGGGAACTAACGCGAGAAAAGACGATGAAGGGAACAAAAGTAAAACGTTCGCGAAGAAGCTAGGAACGATGGATGTCGCGGGAATCATGAAATTCGAGATCGCCGTCAATTTCAAAATGTTTATAAAAAAAGAAAACGTGAAAAAATGCGTATGTATATCTATATATACATATACATAAATATATAAATATATAAAGAGTTCGCGATTAGGGAGGGAAAGATCTTCGTGTTAATTATTACTGCTTTTAATCAGGTCTAACTCGAGTCTTGCGCATTATGATTGGGCTTATTATAATCGTTTACTTATTTTCTTCTTTTTGTTTTTATAATTAGGTTTCCATTACGTTTACGATTATTGGCTCTTATTGGCTATCGCGGTGAGCAAAGATGGAATTCCTTAAATTTTCTTTATTATGGGTGTCGGTTTGGGATTGGGAACACTCTAACCGAAAGCAAATGAAAAAAAAAACAAAAAAAAAAAAATTAATGCTCTCGCAAAAATCGATGCATTCGAAGTATCGAGATAGCATTTCTTCGAAGGACGGCGAGACGAAGCGCGATGTCGATAATGTTTTTTTCTTTTCCTATTTGGTATAAAAAAAAAAAAGAAAACAAGTTACGGTATAATTACCGTTAGAGATTTTGAAACGGTTTCGAAAAAAAAAATAAATAAATAAATAAATAAATAAATAA